TGTGAATAGAGTCGTCTCTCGTGGATATTGAACGCCATCTGGTCGATTCTTTTGAATCCGAAAAAATACACTGGAGGCTTTTAATTTTTTTGAATACTCGAAAGCACCCGAAAACTTATTAGTAATTTAGTGGAAAATATATGTTTTACGTGGAAGTTGAGATTTATTTAAATTTGGATTGAGTCGTTATGGACTGTGCTGAGAGTAGCAAATTTAAAGTATGACTATAGTTATTGAATTATCTGCGTTCGTAGTTCTTTGTAAATATGAATACAAAGTTTTGATTGGTAGAATATTAACAAATCACAGATAAGTTTTCAATATTGTACAGAGTGACGGATCTAGAGAAATTGAAGTTTATGGAATTATACATTACGTATAATTTTCCCCCTTCCATACCCTATTTTCCCGCGGATTTTGTTACGATTGTAATCTGGTAGTGATGTGCTTTCAACGTTATAAAATATTTATGAAAATAGTACTTTAAGTCGAAAAATTATCGCATTTGTATATAATATCTTATTCTTCAACTTTGTATATATTTAATGCGTGCGTATCGTTACTCTTCGTATCACTTGCGTTTGCGTAATAAATTATTGCTAGGTTATAATTATGCATCACTGACAGATTCGTCGTCGATCTTGTCAGTCGGTGTAATGTTATAAGAAAAAGTTTATATTTAAGAATATCTAGGTAAGATGGAGATGAAATACAGTTTTTTTTATCGTTATTCGCCTATGATAGTCAAATACATTTTACTTCTATTTTTCGTAGGGACGTCTGAGATGAAAATAATGGACATCAATGATCAAGATGAGTGTTGTACCGATACGGTTATGCCGGTCAAGAAAAAGAAGATGAAACAAGGTATTTACTTTTTAATTTCTGAAGTATTATCGAAGTAATTATTACTTAAAAACGATTGCAAATTAAAATACCTAATATTCACTTGAATTATATTTAACTGGAAATATTATTTTAGCTCAATTGCCTTTCCAAATGCAAAGTCCAGTGCAGTCTCCAAATGCTATACAAAGCAAAAAGAGAAAATTAATATCACCCTCTGTGGAGTGTATGAGCTCAAAACCAGTTAAAATTTTAAAAAAGAGTTTGAAGAAAGATGTAAATAATAAACCAAGTGATAACAACAAGGAAACAGAAGATGAAAGTGTTTGTATAGAAATAATGAATGTAGAAATTGAGAATGTCAAAGAAAACACAACATTGAATAAAGTGGAACCTGAAATTAAATCTGAAACCCCGAAACAGATTTTCAAAGGGCAGAAAAAGTTAGAGAAACTAAATAAACTGAAACCCAGTTCTTTAAAAATGTTTTTTCAAAAGACTGATAAACAAGAAGAGAGTTCAAAGGAAGATTGCCAGAAATCTTCGGAAAAGGAAACAGATAAATCTGTTGAAAAGAGTTCTGATACAAAGGTGTCACTATCAACAAGTGATATAAGTTACAAAATAGAAGATTCACCTCCAAGTGCAAATAATTCTCTATATCAAACTGATTCTGATGATGCAATGATATCTTCTGATAATGAACAAGAAGACAGGGATGATCAAATAAAAACAGCTTCTGAGGATGGAAACAAAGATGAACAAACAGAGACAACTTCAACTAAAGAAGAAAATAAGACACCTATAATTCCTAAAACAGATCACTCAAAGCAGAGAAGATTAACACCCAAGCAACAGGAAAAGAAATTATTAAGTGCTAAGAAAAGGGAAGAAAGGCAAAAACTGAAAGTGGTAAATTGTAGTCTTTATAACAAAAATATTTGTTTCTAGCTTTTTTATGCATATGTAAAAAGAAAATAATGTATTATCTTACTTTCTTGTAGGAGAAAGAAAAGAAGTTAGAAGAAGAGCGAGAAAATCGGCGGAAGGAGAAGGAAGAGAAACGTAGGGAGAAGGAGCAAAAACAGATGGAAAAGAAAATGAAAGAGCAGAAGAAACAAATGGAAATGGAGTACGAATATATATAATTATGGCAATCCAATACTGTACAAGTACTTAAGCCTGAATTTTTATTTATACTAATTTATTTACAGGCAAAAGCAGAAAGAAAAACACGCAAAGGAAGAGGAGCGTAAGAAAAAGGAAGAAGCTAAAGAGGAGGAAAAGAAAAAAAGGGAAGAGGAAAAATTGGAAGCAGAACGCAAGAAACAGAAAGCAGCGTCGAACTTTACAAGTTTCTTCGTCGCCAAGAAGCAAGAAAAATCTATCGAGGAAGAAAACGGGACTGAAATAAGAAACTTCATGCCTTTCGAAGTAAAAGCAGACATGAAGATAGCCCCAGTCTGTAGAAGAGCCTTAAGCGCGCAAGATAAATTGTCATTGGACGAAAAGTGCAATGAAGGAAATAGACAAGAGTCAGACTTGTATCTTAGCGAGATTAAGAGAAAAAAAATAGTTCCATGCAAGTCGTCAAAGACTTGGCGATTTGAAGCGAAGGACGAAGTAATTATATTAGGTAAATGTTATTTTCTTCCCTAACGATCATTGATTGGATCATGAATAATTACATATCGTTTACCGCAGATGATGAAAATGATGGAAGCTCGAATATTGTAAATCAAGACATTCCAATAGAAAAGCAGCGGCCCAAATTGCTACAATTTTGTGAAAATCAGCGTCCACCTTATTGGGGCACTTGGAGGAAACGTAGCGGCAACATTCATCCTCGAAGACCGTTCTCTAAGGACCCGGTGAGTCTTAAATTAGTAATTTGTACATTTTTAGTACAATCATCTTCGTTGAATGAAAGCAGGTTCAGAGACAAATAATCAAATAATTATCTCAGATGGATATAAGGATAAAAGGGTTGTCATATTTTTAATAATATTTATTGTCACATCATAGAGGTTGTCACTTAATCCAGTTCAACTTGTTGAACCATCTTAAAACAAAGACTACAAGAGTAGTCGTACTTAATCTCTTTTGTCAACATCACGATAATCTCATACATCAAATTAATCATCGAAAGAATACTTCCTTGCTACAACTTCTCTAAAAATGATTTTTTGTAACCTCTATACATAAAAACGAAACACAATCTTTATTCTTAAACTTTGAATTAAGTACATCGCAAGGAAGCAACGAAGCTGCTGATCAAAAAAATCTGGAAGGAAATTCTTTCGACGTCTCTTCGTTCAATGGTTGTTTACGCCAGTTATTGCACGTAAAAACTACTAAATCTCCGTTGGTACAATGTTCATCTTTCCTCCACGAAGTCCTCTTCCACCGTGGAATAGGGGATACGCGTTTTTCCGGTGCACCTTGCGGTGTTTGGCCAGGTGGTCGCTACGTGCAAATTTCTTTGAACACATTTCACATGGATAGGGTTTTACTCCTGAATGTGACCGTCTGTGCCTAGCTAGCTCATCTGACCGGCTGAAGCGCCATCCGCAGCCAGACCACGTGCATGCAAATGGCTTCTCGCCAGTATGTCGACGTAGATGAGCTTTTAAGTGAGATGCCTTCGCATAGATCTGAAAATAACATTGAATACTTTCATAATAGGATTTATTTATATGACACACATATTTATCAAGTAGAATATCTTCGTAGAATAGGTTATATTTGTAGAATGTATATATGTATTAAGTTAGGTTAGGTCAGTAGGATTTTAGATACCAGTAGGGTGTGTTTAGGATGTGTAAATATTTTTGTGAGTAAGATATATTTATAGGGTATAAATATTTATTACGTAGATTACACTTGCATGAAATTCTAAAATGATTTCGTGTAAATATAGGTTAGAATTTTTTTTATACCGTGTCTAACATATTATGAAAGATGTAATGGTAAAAGTAGCTTTACTCTGTATGACTTTGGAATATTCTGTTCATACATTGGATGACTTTAATGTACCTTCACGCATCCTTGGTAAGTGCAAGGAAAGCATCGATCCTCCGACGCGTTCGCCAAGTTGCGATTGGTGTAGTCATGGGTGGCCAGTGCTGCGGCAGCTGCTGTTGAAATAATATTTTCTTCTACTTGATTATTGTTGTAATCTGAAACCCAGGCAAAACAACTTCTTACAATCTTATTCAAACCTTAAGGAATTCTCGTTGATATACACTAGAGTAGTATGTTATAACAAATACTTGAAAAAAGAAATTATTAAAATTTACTTCTAGCAATTTCTGTTCTACTTTGAGGTTAGAAAATAGAGTAAATAGGCAAGCATTCAACTTTAAGGTTAGAAAACAGACAAAAGTGCAGTCTCTCTTCCCAACCTCTAGTTCAACTATGCTCTTTCTAGATTCACCAGGGCCTAACCTCTTGTTTTATACCTCTCGATACGATTTCAGTTCTAAACGCTTTTTCCGCCAAGATAACCCCACAGAGTACTTCAAACTTACCTATTCTGTTCGTTTCCAAAGTATCATCGAGAGCTCTCAAATCGATCCCAAGCACCCATAATGGTTCCTCTTGCTGAAACGTTTGCTGCGGATTCGGCAAGGGTAAATGTAGAAAACCCTCACAGCCCGCTGTGCACAGTGGTGTCCTCTCTGGCAGTCCAGAGTTCCAGCTTTTGTCTAAACACCATTCTAACTCTGAGTCTAATTCACTCAGCTCGCTCAGACAACCTGTACCTAACACAAAGTGTATTTCGTTTTATGAAATGTGTGACCTCGCCATATCGTTTCTACCAACTATACTTCGACACCTGACCGATTTCACGGCTTCATTATATCGCTTCTACCGACTGTACCTTATCAATTTAAACAGAACAAATCATCCCCCGATGTTGTAACAACTTTCTAATGGGGTGGTTTACATAAAACCCTCCCCAAATGCAAAATACAGTTTTATTTGGTAATAATAATTGGTACTTTGATGTTATATCTGCTATTGTTGACTGTTTGGGTTATTGTTAAATAAACCAACAGAGTTGATTAGCAATACAGTGTTTTTGACTAAAATTTTGACTAAAAAATAAATGGAATGCAATGAATTCACAATTGCACGAGGATAATTTTTTACGATGCGTATAGGCCGGCTAGAAGTTGGAGCATGCGCACAAACGTGCACGTGCGACAGCGAGCACGTTACTCGGCGCCAATATTCAAATAATCCCAACAGCTATGGTAAACAAACACTATTTGTAACTTAAAAAATTCTCGAATTTAACAATTTACACGTTCATTAGCACCTTTATCTCTGTACAAAATGCAACTTTAATACTGTATGTTACATTCCCAACAAGCTTACTCGATAAACTTAAACGATAGAAATAAGAATAATATTTCACACATTTCTATACAGTATTTTCTCTACGTAATTAATTTTCCACCTACCGGAGAACGACGTAGAGGTATTGTCAGACCATTCGTTCCAAGACGTCTTTGTTGGACAGGTCAAGTCCGTGTAACAGTCCACATTAGCGAAATTGCCCGATCGACCGTCGATCGTCTCCGAATCATCGCTGTGTTGCGGTGTCGCTCTGCATGAGGACGCCTCATAGTTGCACATCAATGTGGTGGTCGGGTTCGCGGAGAACAGTTGCCTCTCTACACCTGTGTCCGTGGTTAGGCCCAACGCGGAGAATAACAATTCATCCGTCATCTGATGAAACAAAACGAAAATGATTTTTATTAAATATGAATTTCTAGCAGAACGTTAAAAAGTCACATTAATCTTTTCAGGGAGAATTTTCATCTAATTTCTTATGTAGTTATATTTTATATTCATTTTAAGTCGACAGTAATCAAACAATTTTTTTTAGGAGATTATTAGATTTTTTCAGTGTCCTTGAAGAGGTTAAAAACATTTAACCCATAGGTAGCTCGCGACTCACTCGCACTTTTCACCCTTTAAATTTTAAATTAACCTAACTGTATATAAAAAAATTGCTTTTTTTTCGCATTTTAATTATTTTCACTCTCAAACAAGGGAAAAGGAAAAATAGTTCAGTTTTGAGAGGGTTAATTACAAGAAAAATATCGCTAGTTGTTCACTTTAATCCATTTTTCTGCGTCTCTTCTTCGAGCCTCGAATCCAAGTGTGTTTTCTTTATCGCCCGATGGAATTTCTATTTCGAAAAAGAAAAAAAAAAACTATCGACACTAAAACTACGAAATATTTTCGAAAAGAAAAAAAAAACGAGGAGAAAGAATAGAAAAAAAATGAAGCTACGAGGTGACTGTTTATTGTTGCAAAAGTTTCTTGTCTGGGAATAATCGGGCCGGGTGCCCGGTGATACCGACAATAAGTCATGCAGCGCGAACGCTCTATATCTGTTGATTAACATTCAATTCTATTTTGAGTTATCGCCGCCGAAAGAAAGAGGGAAATGTGATGCAGCGACTGAGAGATTCATCTCTCTGTTGCTCCTGTTCCCTTGGACCATTTTTCGAATCTTCTCTGATCTGTGCGCTATTGACACGTTCGTCTTGATCGACGTCTGATATAGAAGTACTCGTTACGAACCCTTACGATTCGCTGTCGATAACTTACCAAAAAATTGCACAATTTTCAAGTTAACCACGAAAAATCTCAGAACTGTTCAACATCGATTACTAATTGCTCGAGTGATCAATTTGCAAATGATTAGAATAATTAGATTTGTTATTTTTTTTAGAACTTTTTAGTTTCTCTCGATGACAATTTTTCTTTTTCTTTTTTGGAATTAGCGAAGAAAGTATGGTAATGGAATTAGGGGGAGATCCTGAGAGTGTGAATTCGTTTCATTTTTTTATTCTTTGCGTGTTTTAGTAATTTTTTATTAGGTCGAGGCATTGTTATTAAATTAAAAAATTTTAAATTGAATTTTCTGAAGTATTAATTCACGCGTAAAGTCTTCTTCGTTGATAATTTTCGTTGGAATAATTCGATCACTGTTGTGCGCAGCTTCCACCCGGAAGTCTCAAATCAGAGATCTACATCGATCGCGTGTCAAAGTCTCAAAGTCTTCGGTTCCAATAAACATTGAATGTTGTGAAACACATTCTCAATTTATTTCACTGAATTCTAGTCGCATATTTAAGTAATTCGTCGTTTACTTCTATCGATGATAAATTATCGTTGTTTACACGGAAAGAAACGATCGAAAATAACAACAGCTTCCAAAAAAATATTCTCCAAATTTTTACTTACATCAAATATGGCCGCTTCTTC